CCCCCCCCCCCACCCCACCCCACCCCAACGCGCCCCCTCCTGCTCCACACCCCTTCCAACTTTCTTCCTCGTGTTGTGTGAAGTCTCGGGGACAAGTCCCACTCGCAGCGTTGAGTTTCCTTATCGCGCGAATGTGCACGTGTTTGTGGAGAGGTGCAGAAAATTACGTTGGGTTTTCTGGATCGCACATGTCACAAACACGTCCAGATTCGCGCGTTGAGGGAACTGAACGCTGCTAGTGGGAATGGGCCCGAGGCCCGAGGGAACTGAAGGCTGCTAGTGGGAATGGGCCCCAGGGGCCTTGGCCTATTCGAGCGGTTTGAGTCATCAAAATGGACTGTGTCACACCGTCTTTTGCCCTTAATTCTTTTTTGGCATTTGTTGGCCTTTTCGCGAGAAAGAGAAACAGAATTTTGATGGCGAAAAAAGTAATAAAGCAAAGCAGCAGAAAGTACCGGCTGCTATACCTTTCTCGGCCTTTTGGCTAAGATCAAGTGTAGTATCTGTTCTGGACAGTTTAATATCTGATCCGTGGTCCATCGGGCCACATGATATCAAAGTAATTTTTCTGGGCCACGGAGGGGTCAGACGGGTAGGCTTGCTTACTCGACCCCTCCATTAAAAAAAAAAAAAAAAAAAAAGAAAGTACCGGCTGCATCCCCCCCCTCCTCCTCACCACTAGGTTGTTGGCATCGTGAGTGTGGCTTTCTCTGTCGTCTTTTTTTTTTGGATGTGCAGGACGGTTCAGCTTCTTTCTGTGGAAACACTGGCAAAACATGCAACGTGCCCTGATCGTTTTTTTTTTCATACTGCAGAATAAAATTATTAACACTGAACCATTTCCTGTGGTGATGGGATCTGTTGCAGGAAAGTGCCTGGCTATGCATCGGGCAGGATATGTTGGGATCCGGATCTCCTCGACCTAGGGAACTTGGATGACGGCTGCTGATTTCTGCTTCTGACTGTGGCTCTGGCTGAGTAGTTGGCGCGGTGGTCCTCTTCTTCCCGTCAGCCTCCCACTCATCTGCGGACTGGGACATTATCTCAGAGTTTGTGACCTCCTATAGCATGGAATGACCAATCAGGCTCAACTACCTTCTTCTTCTTCTTTGTCTTCTTCTTCTTCTTCTTCTTCTTCTTCTTCTTCTTCTTCTTCTTCTTCTTCATAATGTGCGCGTTGAGCTGATTGTCCGTGCAGGTGCTTTACTGCTCATCATTGAGACATGGACGCATAGCGATTGGCCTCACTGTTTCAATTCTTCTTCTTCTTCTTCTTCTTCTTCTTGCGATGGCAGGTTGCCCAGTTGTTGAGAGGAGGGTCTGTTAAGGTCATGGCTACCGTGGTTGGCGAAGGGCAGTTTTCCGGTGTGGAATGTTGGCTAGGATGGGTGTCTTTGGTTGGTTAACGACGGCTGTCATGAGCTAACAGCGGCTAGAATGGGCTTTTATGGTTGATTGAAGGCACAGATTTGATAAGGTCTTAGTGTGTTGCAGTGTGGGGGTGGTTGGAGGGTTGGGCTTGGGAGGGAGGGGGGGCGGCAGGGTTGGGTCGTGGTTACAATGGGAAAATTTGGATCGAAAAGTGGGATGGTAGGGGCGATGAAGTTTGGCAATGGGGATATATACACTGGCAGTGTGAGGCTGGGGCTTCCGCATGGTCGAGGAACGTACTTTTGGGTGGATGGAAGCAAGTACGAGGGAGAGTGGGTGCGTGGGGAGAAGGAAGGATGGGGGATGTTCGTCTGGCCATCGGGGGCTTTCTATGATGGAGAGTGGTTTCGTGGATTCATGCATGGGACAGGGTTGTATCGAGGGGCTGATGATATGTGGTACAAGGGGTCATGGAGCATGGGGAAGAAGCATGGCCTGGGAAAGAAGGTGTTCGCCAACAAGGATGTGTACGAGGGGCTATGGAGGCAGGGGGTAGCCGAGGGCCTGGGGCGATACACCTGGGCTAATGGGAGCGAGTACGTAGGGGAATGGAAGGGGGGGACCATGTCGGGACGAGGCATCTTCATGTGGGCCAATAGGGATAGATATGATGGAGAATGGGAGGGTGGGTGTGAGCACGGGAAGGGGGTTTTCACGTGGGCAGATGGTGCGTGCTATGAAGGTACGTGGTATAGGGGCGTCAAGCACGGAAAGGGGTATTTCTACCCCCCTGGATGTCTGAAAGCCCTCCGGAGGGACCGGCATGGCAACCTTGTGAAAGAGTTTGCAGACGCTTCTGCGAAGGAGGGAAGGGACGGAGGGGACCACAGAGAGGCAACGAAAGGGGACAAGAAGGGCGAAGGGGTTGCAGAGGGGAAGGAGGCCACAGGTGTGCCGCGAGGGAAGGGTGGTGGGTGCCCCCCCGTCACTCCTGCGAGATGGCTCAGCATGAGCGGCCCGTTGACAGAGAAGGAGAGGATGCTCGTCCTGGCGTCAATGCGAGGGTTAGGGGAGAGCGCGAATGGCATTCCCCATGGGAAAAGGTTTGAGAGGAAACATATCCGTATGAAACCTGGCAGACCAAAGATGAAACCGAAGATCCAACGGCAGTGGAGTGGCCCCCTAAAGTTCAGCGGTGAAGTCGGCAAGGATCGCCAAGATATGACCTTTGGCAGGAAGGGGGAAGATGAGGAGGGTCTGCAGAGAGATGGATGCGGCGACAGTATTCCATTGTTCAGAAAGGATGGAGATCTGGGAGACATGCAGGAGGGCGAAGAGGCTGTGGAATTGCCGTCACCATTGGAGGGGCACGGCTCAAATTTGGCAGAGGAGAAGGCTGGGGGAGCTGCCGTTGGTGAAAATTTAGCAGAGAAGCAGGTTGACGGAGCTAGTGCTGGCGGTGGCGAGGACGATGAAGAGGATGATGGAGGGCGGGCAGGGCTGCGGGTCGCAGTGGAGAGCGAAACAAGGAGGCTGGTGTATGATGCAGATGCGGAAGGAGGCAAGGCATCAAAAGGGGCCAAGAGAAGCCGCCATGCGGCTGGTGAGTTGGCCCAAATGATGTATGGCAGTGAGTCCGAGTCTGTACCGCTCAAAGGCAATGACAAGGAGGGAGAGGAATCCGGATACGGCGGGGACGACTCTAGTGCCGTGGTCGTGTTCGAAGGCGATGGACTGCAGAGCAAGCTGTCTGAGGCTGTCACCGGTGCACTTCATGGTGCGGAAAGGGCCATAACGGGGGCTATCCACGGTGCAACTGCAGCGGTGTCTGGTGCTTTTCTTGGTGCAACGGTGGCGTGCTCGGGGGCTGGTTTTGCACATGCGGGACAGCACTCCGTCGAACTGGACTTGACAAATCTTGAGGCCTTTGATAATGATCAGGAACCAGCCAGGGGATGCCAGAGAAATGAACATGGGGCAGTGGACGCCTCCACACAGAAAACGAAAGTGACGAAGCCGAATGTCTTTTGCAGGGAGTATGCTCACGGCACCTTGGTAAGGGAGACAATGGAGGATGTGGTCCTGACAGGACAAAAGAGGAGGGGGAAGAAGAAGAAGAAGAAGTTACAGGAGATTAAAAGGCCCGGGGAGTCCATCTACAAAGGGCATAGAAGTTATGATTTGATGCTCAGCTTGCAATTGGGAATTCGATACTCCGTTGGCAGAATAATGCAGGAGGTTCCCCGGAAGATTAATGATGCGGATTTCGGATACCGAGTGATGGTGTGCCAATGGTTCCCGAAAGAGGGAACGCGGAACACACCGCGTCATCAGTCTACCGACTTCAAGTGGAAGGATTACTGCCCTATGGTCTTTCGGCAGCTGCGGGAGGTGTTCGGGATTGATGCTGGGGAGTACATGCTCTCGCTGTGCGGAAGTGATGCTCTTCGAGAGCTTTCCTCCCCCGGAAAGAGTGGGAGTGTGTTTTATTTATCGAACGATGACAAGTTCATCATCAAGACAATGAAGAAGTCGGAGATGGGTGTCCTCCTTGGAATGCTTCCTCATTACTTCAGACATGTGAAATCGTACGATAATACACTGCTTACAAAGTTCTTTGGGCTGCACCGTGTGAAACCGCAAGGTGGGCGCAAGGTCCGCTTTGTGGTCATGGGCAACATGTTTTCTGGCCTCCGTATCCACCGCAGGTATGACCTGAAGGGGTCCTCGCTTGGAAGGCATACAGAGACGACCATGATCGATGAGAACACGACGCTGAAGGATCTGGATTTGCATACAGTTTTCCAGCTGGAGGAGGGATGGAGAGAGCGCCTGCAGTTCCAGCTCGGAGTGGACTGCAAGTTTCTCGAGGAGCAGCGAATCATGGATTACAGTTTGCTGCTTGGTGTTCACTTCCGCTCGCGGCGTAATTTTGTGGACAACCCAACAAGTACAAATGCCACGAGCAATTGGGGCCCGGGAGATTCTGCAACTGCTGCTCGTCTTCCCTCAAAGGCGCTAGAACCGGAAGGTTTTGCTGCTAGTGAGCGACAGTCTCAGCAGCAGGGCGTCGATAGCCTGAGAGAAGAAGACGATTTCAAAGCCGTATCAGTAAATGGCACAACAGGGGAAGGAGATGGCGATGAAAGTGCAAGTGCACTTGCACAAACTGCAGACGGTGAGGACGACGAGTCAACTATAAAATCCGACCCACTTTTCATTTTGCAATCTGCACTAGGAAGCAGGAATCACAGGAGGCCCGGGGAGACGGATATGCTGGGCCGCCACTTCTACAGCGCTCCCCTGACTGTCAATGGCCCTCTGAGAGCGGACACAATATGCCCAGTTGTGGCGCGAAATGGAGGCCCTGGGACGGACGCACTGGCATTCCAACTCGGGCGGAGACAGGTGCAGCTAGGAGTGAACATGGCAGCTCGTGCAATAGGGTTAACGCCTGACCGACAGATGGACCCAAGGCGGAGAGCGGATGTGGTGGTTTACTTCGGCATTATTGACATTCTTCAAGAGTATGACCTCCGCAAGTGGGTGGAGAATGCGTACAAGTCCATGAAGTTTGACAGCAGTGCAATCTCTGCCGTCGACCCATTGATGTACTCGCACCGCTTTCAGGAGTTCATGAAGAATATCTTTGTCTAAAAGGGTATACTATACTCCTCTCTGACCGCCAGAATATTGGTTTGCTGCAACATCTTCACAGGCCTTGTGTTGCTGGCAGAGACCTCTCTCAAATCTGCCGTTCAGCTGTCTGTACCAGTGAACAAGCTTGCTTGTATGCAGCGAAGAGGAGGGTGTCGGGGGAGGAAGGGGGGGGGGGGGGGGGTGAGGGCCGTGAGGCAGGAAGGAGAGATGGGAGATGAATCCTTGTACAGAAGGGTTCTATCCAACTGGCTTTTCTTGCCAGTGGATGATGCCTTCACTTGTCGGGGTGAACGGTCTTCATTGCAGTTCGGCCGGCTAAGGGCGATGGAGCAATGGTGGATGCAAGATTGGTGTCTTTTGGTAAGCAATGACTCAGCTGAGGACAAGGGCTTCATACTATCAGCCTGCCGTGGATAGCAAGAGGAGATGGATGTCCCTCTTCTCTCTTAGGACGATTGCACCTGCATATGATGATTCTTCTTGCTAGATTCTGGATTTGCAAGAGGAGGCCGGTGTGCGCATGGCAAGGGGGCAGCTAACAAGCATCCTGTGCCCTGCTTTGGGGATTCTTTTTTTGTTTTTTGGTTTCAGAAGGGGGAGGAAGGGGGGGCGAGGCCACTCACACACACACAGATGCACTCACACACACACACACACAC